TAGGGTAGCGTGGCTAAAATTGCTAAGAGTCTTAAGAACATGATGAAGATATATATTCACGCGAATATTCACAAAAATGGTAGCAAATCCTCTACGAAAAATATAATTATGCAACTACCCAACGACAAAGACAAGAAAAGCGTCGTTGCCCATCGAAGGTCCAACCCACTCATCGATGCCTTAGTTCGTATTCGCTTCGTTCGTCTTGCGGTGTAGGCATCCGCGGAAGAAAGAAACCCAAGCTTATCTCCGAGATCAATTGAATTGACGAATCGTAGCAAAAATCACTCCTCACAAAAAATTTCACCCCATGATCGCATCGGATCATCATTCTGTGCCCTGCAGCAGGGAAATGGCCTGCTCACGAAGCTTGAATTTCTGAATCTTGCCGGTTGCCGTCTTGGGAAACTCGGTTGCGTCGTTCAGGAGGAAAACGTGTTTTGGTACTGTATGTGCACAAAGAATGAGGGGGGGGAGGTTTGGGTTAGTTGATATTCTTTCTGATTTTTCACAGGATACTAGCACGTCTTGTCCCTCCATTTGGGAGGGGTGGTGGGTTATCGGTGCTGGCTTGCTGCTTCGTTGCCAGAGGTTCTGCCTGGAACCAGGCTGAGGGAAACAGTTCCGTTGCAAGGGGAAAAAAAAAAAAAGCTGCTCTGGGGGGATAGTAATGGAATGCAGTAATGCAATTGAGAATGGCAGGAGAAATTGAGCGGTAAGTCACGTAAGTGGATGCAAGGAGGGGGAAAGCGATGGGAAAGTGCGGTGAGAGGAGTGCAATAATGGGCCTGGCTGACTGGAACCGACTGGCTGGAGTTGAAGATGTAGAAAGGCATCGCAGGGGCGCCAAAGCGTGGGGGAGGGAGAGAGGGGACCCGGCATTTCTGCTACAAATTCCACAACAATCTGGACACGCTGTAACTGCCAACCAACGCCTGAAGATATTATGATGTTGGGAATGGGAAGGATGTGGGATATGTGGTTTTCTTTTTGGACGAGAACGAACTGACATATCCGCTGCCATAGGAAGGGAAGAGGAGAAGGAATCGAGAGCCCCTGATACGGCCGGCTTTAAAATGCTCAAAACAAGTAAGGAGCGTAAAAAGAGGGAGTCAGGCGACATCAACCGACGCCAGGTTCTCGTGATTGAAGGTGGGAGGGATAGGGAACATGGCCACTAAGCGGGCCAGAAGGAAAGAGAAGTGCAGTCAATGCATATGGGATAATTCTGGGGCGAATAGTGGCGGGGAAGCCTGTTGGTCAACAGTCAAACACAAGCTGCAGCTGATGTTATCTTGTATTGAAAATTTCGGTCTGAAAAAGTGCCGCGAAACACGAAAACCTTTTGTTAAACATACGAAAGGCGTAGCGGAGCTGGGGGACTGCAACTGAAGATGCGAGGGAGGCTTTTGTAGTGTGGAAAGCCCCAGGGCTCATGATGATAACGATTGGGTCTGAAATGGAGCTATGACCCCCTCGCTGTGGGGGAGCACCATTCTTGAAGAAGACGGTGCCGAAAAACAAGCACCACAAGCAACGGATGATCTGAAAATTGACAATCTTGGCGCATTTGGGCAGCCGGTAAAAAGACAGCAAACTGCGGGAGCAGGCCATGATATCGCACCTCATGGGTCAATTCCAGTCATTGGCAACGAAGTGGCGTGGAACGTGGAACAGAGTCATATTGTTGAAAGAGTCGTGGCCGGATTCAAGACAGCCACGGTTCATAATGGAATTGAGCCTCTAAACGAGAGTAGCAGCAGTTTCGGGACGTTATACGGGGGAGGTAGGGAAAACAAATAGAAAGAGGGGGGGTTTTCTTTTTCTTTGAAAAAAAGAATAAAAAAACAGAAAACTGACCCAGATGATGGCTTAGCTTCTTTCGAACCCAGTCTTTGACTTCATCCACTGTAATCTTCGCCTCTGCTTCTTCTCGTTGAACCACAAACGCAGCCACCACCTCTCCGTAACGGTCATCTGGAACTCCAACTACGGAAACGCTTGATATGCTGGGATGGGCAAAGAGACAGTTTTCAATTTCTAAGGGATGGATATTTTCGCCACCACGAATGATCAAGTCTTTTATCCGGCCAGTGATTGAGATGTATCCGTCCGGTGACATTGAGGCTTCGTCACCAGTCTAGATTCAGGAAGGCATTAGTTGAACGTTAAATAGCTGTGATGAAGATATCCCCATGATAATGTTAGTATTATTACGCAAAAGTCTTACATGCATCCAGACTTTCCCTTCCTCATCTTTCACCATCACCTCCGCTGTACGCTCTGGAGCACCCCAGTATTCCTTCATGACGAGATAGCCGCTTACGACAAGCTCGCCTTTGGTATCGACTGGGAGCGTTATCGTTCTATCATGAGGGTCCACCACTTTCGCTTCGACATGGGGCATGAGGCGCCCAACACTGGAGATTCTCTTTTCAATGGGATCATCCGTTGTCGTCATGGCGGAAACGGGGCTGGTTTCCGTCATGCCGTAGCAGATAGTTAGTTCCGTTAGATTAAGTGTCTTGTGGAGCTTTTTCATTAACTCTGCTGGGATACTGCTGCCAGCTGCAATTCCTGTTCGTAGGTGTTGGAATCTTTCATATGGCACCTTTCCCTCGTCCAAGAGATCCAGCTCTTCAACGAACATCGTAGGAACCCCATAGAGAGCGGTACATTTCTCTTCTTGGACTGCTTTGAGAGTAGCAATGGCATTGAAGGATTCGGCAGGAAACACGATGGCTGAGCCGTGGGTCGCTGTCGCCATGTATCCTAAAATACTTCCAAAACAATGGAATAAGGGTGGTGGGCAGCAGATGATGTCATTCGGAGTGAGCAGCATACGATCACCGATTTGGACGCCATTATTTAGAATCGATCGGTGAGTTAGGCAGGCGGCCTTTGGCATTGAAGTGGTGCCTGATGTAAATTGAATGTTCACGACGTCATGTGGAGAAAGCCCTTGCTGTGCTATGGGAAGCATATCTTGCGCGAGATCTGAAGATAGAGCAGAAAATGGAGTTGTGCATTTAAAAGATGTGGTGTCTACGCGTCCATCGTCATTGTTGACAAGAATGACCTTCTTTAGAGAAGGGATGGCTTGAGACTCGAGTTTTGAGGCAAGGAGGTTAGGAACTATTTGTTGAAGAAGGGGCAAAGTAGAGCGCGGTTCTCGTCGTGGTAGGTTTACCTCTGTGCTCATAATCAAGTGAGAGGCTTCTAGATGGCTAAGGGCAGCGACTACCTGGTCTACGTTGAACGATGGATTCAACGGAACCTAAGAGCAATTTCGAATCGTGTTAACGCGCAAAAAGGAACTGTTTGTCTTGTCGGGGTAAGATTCCTCTTACCAGCACAGCTCCAAGCTTGAACAACGCATATATAACCTATCGTGTTAAACGCAGTAAGCATTTTGACCTGTAGTCCATATACTAGGAGCTTTGACATCCGTATCATACAATTCCATATTCAGTACTATTTCCCAACGAAACAGCTACTCGATCACCCTTCAAAAGCCCACCTGCGGCCAACCCGCGGGCCAGCGCATTGCTCTTGCGGTCCAGCTCTTCATATGTTAGCCGTTGCGCCTGATGCCTCGATATGACGCTAAATAGGACCAATCAGTATAGGATGATGCGTGCCAGGGGGTCGTAGAGGGATAACGAACGCGATCCTGTCCCCGTATTTGGATACAACGTTTGCGAAATGTTCTCCAACGGTTTGCTCAAACAATGGGGGCTAATCACGAATAGAAAGGCATGCCAGAAAAACAGCCAGTGATGATGTTAGTACTGATGCTGAAAAACAATATCAAAATTAACCATAGACAAAGAGGACCAGATAGAAAGCAATGAAGCCAAATGCTAGAGCAGCTAAGCAGGCTTACTAACCTCTGAAGGTCCCCTGGCATGGCTCGTCGTCAGGAGAGATCGCCTTTGCACTTGGAGACAAGAACCTCCAACTCTAAACCCGGCTATTCTCCCCCTTGCCTTGCAAGGAAGACGCCAAACCAAGGACCCGCGCATTGTTTTTACGGATGTGAACTGCCTGTATATGCTGAACCAGATACTTGTGAATGAAATGCTATCATATCATACACCGACGTGGGAGTTCAGGGTATGTGTACGCTCCGGCGGCAGCCAAAATATGCGGGGAAAGGCAACGCGCTCGGGAAGGGAGGTTGTGGTAGTATGTTGTTGTGCAGCTCCGTTAGGCGTACTCAAGAGACCCCAGTACGAACGATCTCTGTGACAAAAGGCAGTCGTAGCGAAGGAGTATTGTTCTTGGGATATATATGCACCTTTGCTGGCGGCGCGCGGCTCGGCTCTCACGCAAGTTTGTGTGGCATGGCTGTCGCCGACCTTCATTCATGCCTCCGGTGCTCCGGCGACCCCTTGTTCTTCTGTGGACAGTGGCTCTGGTCTTTCCCCGCAGTCCAGAGCACAGCTTGGGTTATGATTAGGGGGGCATTGGTGAACGAAATGGGGGGATTGTGGAGACGCGAAGAAGACACAACCAGCGAGATAATAATATCACCGCCTGCCGCCTCGATCTCTTTTCTAAGCTTCGGTAAGTTATCTCCTACAGTATCATTTCTAGTTACGTTTTAATAGCAACAACGGGAATAAAACGCAGCACAGACAAGCTCATTAAGCTCATTATTTAACCAACACCCCGTTTATTGGTTAAAGCAGAAACACCGTATCCCGAGCCCCTTCGCCGCCATACAGTATTGCCGGCATCCAAAGAGTGTTTGCCGAGAAACCTCAAAACCTCCATTCTTCCATCCATCCATCTACATAAGTTAGTTATTTATCTATCCATCCACTTGTCTAACTTATCTAGACAAACTTTGCTCCACACACAGGACCACAACAACCAGCAAGGAAAGGGCCTTGCCTCCCTGGGAGCCCACAGCTAACTACGCTTTCTCCAATCAAAACGCCTCTCATAAATTCATAATAATAATAGTACCTAGTCATCATAAATATTTATCCCGATCAGCAGTTTTCCGTCCGATACAGTCTTTCCCACTCCGCCCACCCGTGCTCGCTCCTGAGTTCCCAATTCCGATAAGGGTTATTCGGTGGCATGGTTGGTATCGGATGCGGTTCGCCCTGAGGTATCGGTTTTTTTTTGTCTTTGCACGCCCGTGACCTGCATAGACACTGCTTTTCTCTCCAGTACCGTTTGCCGTAGTGGACCGTAATCTCCTCGAACGCTTCGATGTCTCTCAGTGCCACCATCATCATGTATATTTGTTTTCCAATCGTGCGGGAGCGGAATTCTACAGATGGTTCACAGGAGTGGTTTACGAATCGAGCCCAATTGCCGTACCATTTGGGACAGATAACTGCCCTCGCGGTATTGGAAGTCTTGGCCGCGAGCTTCAAGCAATAAACTGGATCATACTGCAACCCTTCATTCTCGGATAAAATTTCTCCAATAAAGGCACCTAACATAGTATCCTTGGTGAACTTAGCTAGGGTTCGCACTCCAACCCCCCGACCATCTGCAGTTTCAATCAGCTCGAGAAATAAGGCGGGATATCGCGGATATGTGCAGTCACAGAGTGTGTCCGATGAACAAACGTCGCACTCTCCATCGGATGGCCGGCGTAACGTTGGATCATCTTGACATGTCGGATGAATTTTGTAATTCCCGATGTTCTCTTGATAGTTGTTTTCGAAACGACGTCGTTCCAAATGTTGGCGCTCGAGGTTGACCACAATCTCGTGCGGATGCAGCGTCTCTACATCCCTCCCTCCCGTCTTTATAGGGCCTGGAATCGGGCCATCGTAGGGGAGCAAGGCTTTGGTGTCTTTGGTGTCTAGGCGCCTCGTCTGCGCAAACGCCAGGATACTGACAAAATTCTCTTCCAGAAGCTTCTCGAAGGCCTCCCACACAAGATCTGTTTCCTTCAAAGCGGCACCCCTGAACACAATTGTACGTGCACATATTGAGAACACCTCTGGATCCTTACTGAAGCTCTTCCAAACATTAACCAGGCGTTTTTGGAGTCTCATGAGTCTCTCCGGTGTGTTCGACTTCTTGCGTCTCCTGAGCCGGCGAGAAAACGCCTCTCTCTCGAAGGTTGGTGGCTCTCTTCCGCCTTTATTGAAGTTCATGATCATATCTAGAGCCTTCGCAGCATGGTTCTGATTACGCTTGGCTTTGTATATCCTTTGGTCAGTCAGTACTCTCCGACTCGAACGAGTAGACGGGCAGTTCAGCCATTGGACATTGGCACACAGATTAATCTGGCGGTATAGGGCTTGAAGCAAGATTTTTGCCCTGCTTTCCGCTTGGAATCTTTGCCGTCCATCCTCAGTGGTGGTATTGCCTATTATCCGGGGCGGGTTGTCGTTTGCCATTGATGTTGATGTGGCTGTCTTTGACTCGATATGGGTAATTCTACCCGTTGAGATTTTCCGATTTGTTGATACGATAGGCGGAATCCTTTCCAAGGTGCGGGTTTGATACTATATGATGTTGGATGGTATTGTTTATTTGGTAATGCCTCTGACGCTTCGAACTTGGGCGGTTTCGTACAAGGACTATGATGTTTTGTCGGGGTATTTTTTCTCTCTCTCCGGGGACCTTATCTTTCTTATGTATTGTTTCTCATCCATTTGCTACGACATGGGAAATCAGGTTTGATGAAACGAGAGAAACCAAGGACGGCTTTGTCAAAGCCGTCGGGGACGTGCAAAACAATCGTCAGGGGTTGGAAGGTATCAATTGCTGAAGGCGATTATCGACATAAAGGAAGATCCAAAAGAGCCCCTGGCGGCACTTGTTTGAAACAGGACCGCCCGAATTGTTATAACTGAGTTAAACTACTCCGTAGATATCTCCATATTGATACTTAATATCTACAAATTTAGCAGAAGTACCCGAAAAAGTAATGATTATTAACACCAGGATCTGTTATTGATGAAATTTCCCTGAAAGATGGAAATATAATAACGCATGCGGCCTTATCAATGCTTCTTCTTAGATGCAACATTCAAGAGAACCATCCCCTCCCTATATGAACCTTTGCCTTCAATTTACTGGTTTATAAATATTTAGATAAAGTTAGATAGTCTGAAACATGCCAAAGGCACCTTGCAAGCTGCCTGCTCATGGCTATGGGGAATATTGTTTGGTTTTGCTCTTTATTTACCGCATATCGGCTGTTTCTTGGCAGAGCTCCCCTTCCTTCCTGCAGCAAAGTCCGGACGGAGCTCATCATCACCACCTCAAACCAACATCACCACCATCAACCGTGTGCAAACAATCACCCAAACCAGTCAAGCCCAGCGCGCACTGTACAGCAAACCGACAATACTCCATGAGGAAAATAAAGCGCATGTCTGTTAGTCTTTACTAAGTTTTCTCAAACCACTGACTGCCCCGCGGCTAGCACCTAAGGGTTTGGCCTGAATGTTGGCTTTGCTTTGAACCTCTCCGCATACTTAGGCCGCCGCCGCAACAAGAACAGCAGCCCCAGCTATCTCCCCACCAAGAGCAAGCTCCAGTTCCGCCTAGTTAACCCGCAGACTGCTCCGAAAGCACCACCCTCTCAGTTACTGCGCGGAAGCCAGTGGCCGAGATGATGACCTCTGTCGATTTGCCTGAAGATGCGATCGAGAACTTTATATCTTTCACCAATGCGTCCCGCGAGAAGGCAGTAGCTTTCCTCGAGGTATGTAAAATAGGATCCCAGGATTGCCATGCCTTCTCTTCTTCGGACTTTCGTTGCCATCTTTCGTTTACGTTACACTTGCCCCAACCGTGAATTATGTTTTTCGTGGGACATCATCGCTAACGTTGTATGGTCTTTGGCGCTATATGATATGTCTAGGCAAATAACCGCGATTCCAATAGAGCTATCAATGCCTACTTCGAAAACCCTGATAGTATTCAGCCTGAAGTGAGCATCCTTCGTATACTCTGCAAGCTTCGCAGCTTGTTGGTTTAGAGATAGTTGTTGACTGATGTTTATATCAAGCCAACGGTAGCTTGGCCTATGCCACCTTCCAGCCAACAGGAGGGATATGGGTATCAGAATCAAAATATCCATTGTGAGTTCATATGGCTACGTTCCGCAAGCGATGGGATATCGTATTCCTGGCTAGGCGATCTACCAAGCGCATACTGATATATGTTACTAGCATTTAGAATCGACTCCGATCCGGTTCATCCCGTTGGATATGGAACGGCTCCTTCACGACCCCCATCCAGAATAGGCTCTCGCGAACGCACTGATGAAGCCAAGGTAGGCCAACCGATCGAAGGCCTGCCGAATAAACCTGCTGGTAAGTTGTCGAAAAGTTCGTTGTCCGTAGAATGTTGGTCAAGGTTCTGACTAGTGTTATAGCGGGGACGGGTCCAAGTCAGCATATGTCTCTTGCGGAGCAGGAGGAGCACGAACTCCAAAGGGCGGTGGCTCTGTCGCTGAATGCAGAACTCGGTGGTAATGGTGATATTTCCATCGATGGCGGCGGTCAGGAGACCGGTGTTATCAACACTAATCAAACCAAGCTAGCGCCGGCAACCCAGAATCATTATGAAGAAACTGCTTGGGCTTTGACACTTCTAGAGCCCGCTGCTCGAGAAGTGTGTATGCATCCAGATCCGGAGGAGCGGATGAGGGTCAGTAATGAACCTGTGTTCCTTCGCCCTTCAGACGAGGCAGATTACCTAGCGGGCTTCCTTACGATTCTCCATTCAATTCCGCTAGCGAGGGAAGCTCTGCTGCTTCGGGATAAGGTCATCGATGACTATGGTAGTGACCCGCAGTGGTGGAATGGACAACCTATTAATCTTCCTAGCTTGGTGACTCTCGCCGACGATGGTTATATGGATGAAAGTGGGCACGATGACGTTTTACTCGAAGTGCAGAGACTCATGACGTTTTTGGATTCTACACATCGCGCATTTGGAAGCATCGATGCCCTTGCCAATCTTAAATCTATCCAGAGCTGGAATACTGAATACAATGTTGGTCAATTTTTGGAGTCGTGGCAACGGGCTGCCGTCGCAGCAACGCCGAATAACCAGCTAGCTACAATTTTTTCATCATTGGCCTATAAACGGCCGCTTTCTGTGGATGAAGAACCGATTGATAAAGAATTCTTGGCGTTGGAACTTCCCGTTCATTCAGACCTCGTGGAAACGCTGTACGATGCTATCGATATTTCAATGTGGCAAGATTCGGCAGACTCAGAACTTGATGATATATGGCTAGATCGTATTGGGGAAGTGTTTACTCTGCAGTTGAACTCTACGGACACGCAGAAATCCGTCGATGTTAAGATCCCTGCTGTGTGGTACCCGGACAGATATATGGAAGCGTGTAGGGACATCTCGCGCGAGATTCGCAAGCGCAGAATTGAGACCAGTGTGGAGATCGATAAACTGCAGCATCTGATGCGACTATTCTCGGCATCAACGATTGACCATTCAACATCCCAGACCAGAAATACTTTTGATTTAGCCGTGAGTGCACTGCAAGTCGCGTCGCGGAACAACCTCGTAAATGGGTCTGTTGGGGATCCAGAGATGCAGGAACAAACCGTCGTGTCCCATGAGGCTGCTATGAATCTCACTAAAGAACTGAAGGCTCTCACGGAAAAGATTGATCAGAAACTACGATGTATGGAACATTTTTCACCCTTCCAAAAATGTTAACCATTTTACTAATACTAGCTACAGCGTTAGAGGAGAGGAGAGTGCAGGCCCTCGAGGAATTAAGGCGGTATTCGAAAGAGCTTACCACCGCGTCTAACGACCCAGCAAAACCACCACATAACAAATACACATTGCGGGGCGTTTGTACCCATCCTCATGTTACGTACGTATTAAGACGGCGTGAGATGAGCATTGAAGGAACCGACGAGCGCAGTTCTACGAACTCAGCGCCCGATGAGTGGCAGTGGTGGCGAATCAGTTTTTCCGTTGATGATGCCACAGCTCGGCACGCAGAATCTACGCAGACTCCTGTGGTGCCTTCGTTGCATCAATGTTCGGCTATCCCCCAGGAACTAAGGAAACCAAGGGTTCCTTTGCCTTCCAATATGGATGTGGCCGGGTATACGGTGCGGCCTGTCCGAGAAATAGAGGTGCTTCGCGCTGCGAAAGAAGAGGCTCGTTCTGTGTTGCTTGTATACGCGAACGAAAATGCGGTCAACTTTAAGGAGGGGCCTCTTCCGCCACAACTACAAGTGAGTTATCCTCTTTATTTATTTGTTATTATTTTTTTATTATTATTTTCTTTTTCATACGTAAGTGTTTATTAAAGTCTAACGCTGAACCCCAAATGATATAGGCATTTGTCGACGCGGACAATAAAGTCTTCGAAAGCGAACGAGAGGAATTTGCTCAAAAGCTCCAACAACAAGCTGAAGAAGAACTCGCAAAAGGTAGCGACAATTCGTGGCCTGACCTCGAACCCCTGGGCGGAGAGTTTGATGAGACCTCAAGTGCCCAAAAACAAACATCTGGGAAAGCTTCAGGCCTGGAACACGCACCCGCACCTTCTTCATCATCGGTGTCAGGAGAAGAGCCTACTGGAACCAGACAAGCAGGTCGCAATGCGGCTGGAAACAGCAATCACAAGAAGCACTATTCGTGGGATGACCGGATCCCCGCTAGCCTCCTCCCGGAAAGTTCTGCGTTCGACAGCAATACGATAAATGTGTTCGACTATCAAGTCTCATCATTCCCTGACACGCCACCCAGTGAGCCGGAGGACAAGGAGCCGGAGATGCAAGAAAGAGGAGTTGGTGGTGGGGGAATGGCGATTCTAAGGCAGGCTGGTAGTAGTGGAAGTGGTTCGGTGAAGCGCTCAGTCCAGCCTGCTGTTTCTATGGGGCGGATCCAGGAGGAGATTGATGATGATGGTGAAGATGACAGTAGCGGCAATAGCCGCGGCCCCGGAGATATGCGGGTGGATTACGATAACCCGGCTAGCCGTACGGCGGGGGGGTGAGTCTGTATCATGTATGAGAGCAGTGGAGATCGGATGATCCTCTATATTGCGTAGATGATGATGATGATGTTTTTATTAGGCTGAGGCCCTACGTTCGTAAAGGTTTTGAAGGGAGCCCAGGATGCCTCACGAATTTTCTTCCGCTTCATTATTTCCCTTTTCTCTATTTATTGATTATTCACATATGATGACGTATGATCAGAACAGGGAGGGGGGTTCTCACTTATATTTTCGGATTTTGTTTTTCTAAGTCTTTCTTCCCCAATCGGGTTTAACAGGGGGTAGGTATTTTTACATTCATGACATCTAGTTACTCATATTCATAGACCTACTTTAGCATAGTCATTATCAGGAGACCCTTACTTGGATTTTCTCCAGGTACCAGTAGGAGGTGACTTCTCAACACTTCGCGAGGGAGTGCCTCAAGGTACGATTGTTCGCAGAGCCTTCATCTAAGACATTCTAACGAGGCCTACTTCCAGTACCATGGCACCGAAGTCCCGTGGATTAACCAGCTGCTGCGCAAGTGCATGCTGAATCGTGGTCATGATGAAACGTTGTTCGGACATCCTATCCTCAAACTTCCAGGTGTAGAGGGCAGAGACTTGGTGGTTAATTTCACTACAACCGAACGGGAGCTCTGCTAGAGGGTTATTGTGATGTTCCTGGAAACAAATCACGGTAGTCCCTCCATCTTATTGAATGTCAACAAGCCGATATATGCTTACAAAAGACAGTGTTCTCGAAGCCCGTTAAAAACTACAGAATGGAGTGTCAAAATAAACTTACCCTATTTCCCCGGCTGCGGATGTTTACTTGCCATCTACTTTTAGCACAGATGGTGCTCAAAGACTTTCTAACCATTGATTAGGTACAGTCACTTCAATTAAGCATCCGCGAATGTTCAGAACCGGAGGATGAGCAGATGTGCAATTTGATCGAAGATCTTATTAGAGAGCAAAACTTGCTAGAAAATGAGCAAGAACAATCATCATCAGTCGATAAAGCTCAACTCTCAATACTCCGAGTTCCAGTGTCGCAAAAACTGGTCAACGATTTTGTTGATACTCTCAAGCTCCCCGGCAAAGAGCAGGATAAGTCAAAAGAATGCATCAGATGCCACTGCCCACCAATCTCAGCCCATCTCACATCGTGCCTACATATTTACTGTCAAGACTGTGCTGAGGAGACAATGATTTAGGAAGGGTATGTTTGTGATTGTGGTGCTCCTGTCGGCCAAACGATGTTCTGTGGGTCTTTGGAATCGCTCATTGCTAGGGCCACGCCCCAATCTGAAGGAAACCAAATTGTGCCGTTAAACCCTCGCAAAAGGTCAAGAGGGAAACCCAATACAAAGGGTTCTGGAAGCAGAGACCCTGAGGAAACGGTTATGGACTGGGTGGACCGTGCAGGCCATAAAATGCCAGGAACAAAATTAACAGCAATCAGCTCCTGCCTGGCGGATTGGTTCAGGAGATTCAGCCGAACAAAAGTGGTGATATTCACCCAATTTCTGGGAATGGCTTCTATTCTGAGTTCAATGTGTCAGAAAAATGGCTGGGGACAATCTGTTGGTAAGCCTATCTAAGCCCTAGTTTCTTCTGATCCTAGTAATATTTTTCTCCCAACTCACTCACTGGATCCACGAGCACGAGACAAACATATTAGGACATTTTCTAAAGATCCGGCAGCCCGCATTTTGATATGCTCTCTCAGAACAGCAGGTATTGGGGTTGACCTTACAGCTACAAATAAATGCATCTTGGTTGATCTCTGGTGGAACGAAGCCATGGAGCAACAGGCATGTACATGTACATTTCCCATTAATTACTGTACCAGTCATCTATCTTTATTCCTAACCGCATGCTAGGCATTTTCTCGGATTTTCCGCATTAGACAACAGAGGAACGTCGAGTTTGTCAGGATTGTAGTACAAAATAGCATCGATGACCGAATTCAGCTCATACAAAACGAAAAAACGGATGGAATTGAACAGGTGATTGGTTCTGAGGTCCTTACGTCACGGGATACACTCGCGAACCTTTGTACTGTTCTTGGAATTGAACAGGATGACAGTATGGAAAGAGGGTATAGATTTATTTCGGACAAGGAAGCCGAACGGAGGCATGAAGCAGCGCCAGTTACTGTGTTTGATGGCGAGACTGGCAAGGCACCCGGACAAGCTGAGGCTGATACCTGTGCCAGCGCGGCTAGCAACATTAATGGCCTCGCAGATTCCCGTAGCAATCCCCCCGGTGTTGGGAACGTTAAGGATACGGAGAGTACTGAGAGCTCTGCAGATAAGGTTGGGGATGTTGGAACCATTAATGATGGCGAAACCTGTGAGATTGCTAGCATTGGGGGTGGTACCCTTGCTAAAGGCACCAAAAGTGTTATTGCAAATGGCACTGGTGAGCCTGTCGGGCCTAGCCAAGCTACCCCCCGTGAGGTGGGTTCTGATGTGTCCAGGGACCTCTAAAGATGCTAAGTTTGCGGTAGCCAACGAGGGCAGTGACATTTTCGGCATTTAGGGGCCGTTGAATCTGGTCAGTCTGGAGCTACCTGGGTAGGGTTAGCTCTGGGATTCAATCCCGAAAGCCCTGAGGCTACCGGAGACTCCTGAAAAGCTGAATCGCAATTAGGTGAACTGACTGCCTGTGCACATGAGGCTCTAGTATTTTCATTGTGGATCGATCCCTGTTCTTTTTTCCTATTGTCTTTTCTAGTTTTGTTCTACAAGCTCAGAAATGGACGGGGCTAAGACTCTTGTTCGCTCACCAACTATTCATTCCTCTTTAAGTTGATGCTCACGCATGAAAAAGCCAATATAGTTTATGGACTCATCCGAGTCCTACTTTCTTTTTGTTCAGTTTTCTTTCTGCTTCCCTGCTGGCGATGCTGGAAGCTTTCTGTGTTTCTCTTCAAGTTGGGAAGACACTTTGTGTTCTCCTCTCGGGAGCAACATGCGCTCATTCCCTTTTGTTTGCCGATACTGCATAGTACTGGACCCCCTAGATTCTCTTCAACATTGAACTATTCCGGGACACAGTACAGACGGCAGGCGATGATTTGTTTTTAACCAACTTTGCAAGTTTTGTCTTGGTTCACGAATTTTTAGTGGAGGCGCAAGGCCCGAGTTCGCATTCGGGTTTTAATGAGCCGCAGAGAAGCGACTCCTGAATACAATTGAGCTTCGTGAAATCTTATATTATGAATTACACAATATCCGCGAAAAGCGGAGGAAAATGAATCATCAACGTTATAAGGTATGTCTGTATGCAAGCAGTAAATAATGATACTGAAAACGCGCCTCTGGTCAAATAATTCAAATCCCAGCCCTGACCGACTAACAATCCTACACCAAGCATGATCTCGTATATCAATCACAACTATCGAGGAAAGGGAAATATCGCGTGTGGTGCGTTTCGGGATTTTGATAACCGAGCATCGTTAGAAGCAATGTGACGAATAATCTTATATCTCCTCGATCGCACAGTTAGGATGCAAGACGTACACAGCTCTTTGCTCCTGTTGCAGTTGCTGTGAGTTGTCGGACTCGACCAGGCCTTCACCGCGGATGAGCATGAGGATATTGTCCTGTTGAATTGCATTGCCAAGTTAGATGTCTAGGTTCCAAATGCTTATCAACGGGGCAGAAGGCTGGATAATGCCAAACAAGACAAGTAGAAGCAGCTAACCTTAACCATCCTCTTGAGTACTTTAACGGCCAGTGACCGCTCAGCTTCCATCTCCTCCTCACTGTTCAACTCCGATTCAATCTGTTCAAGATACCAAACTATCAAATCCTCCTGCTCCACCCCTTCCCCTGCATTGGCCTCATCATCGTTAACGCGCCGGACAAGAATGTTAAGAATTCGCATATATTTGTCGTATGTAATCTTCGTTTTCTGTGTTTGAGGCTGCTGTGTTGTAGCACCAGGTCCATTCACATGATCGTCATCATCACCTGTGCGCATCGGGCTATCTCTATCCCTATCCCAGCGAGGAGTGCCATCGCGAATCTCAGAGGAGTTATTGGCAGGTTGGTCACCAGCTTCATCATCAACCTCCACGTCATCTTTTTCAACGGTAACAATGCTCTGCCTGAGAAGATCGAACGCTTCGCGGACGAAACTAGGAACGATCTCTTCAACACAGTTGGCCTTTGCAACTGCTTCAGATAATCGGATCAAACTTTCTAGCTGTCTGACTGTAATGCGATAGCTACTTCTTCCGAGTCCACCTTGAGCGTCGTTGGCACGGAGTTCCTTGTATTTCTCCACGAGCAACGCCTTGGCTTCTTCGGTGAAAACAGGTCGAAAGGTTCGGGCAAACCTGATATACCTTTGCAGCTGCTCGGTGGTGAGGTCCGGTTCGACAGCATCGTCGCGGTTCATATGGACATTGACGATGTGTTCAGCGAGGTTTCTATCCACGGCCTCATTGGGGTCATCACGGATAACAAAGAAAAGATCAAAGCGACTCATAATAGGGGCGCTGAAATTGAGATTTGCCCGAAGGGTGGCTTTGGGGTTGTATCTCCCACCGATTGGGTTTGCAGCGGCAAGAATACTTGCGCGTGCATTAAGGGTAGTGTGAATGCCGGCTTTAGCAATGGAGATAGTTTGTTGTTCCATTGCTTCGTGGATAGCGACTTGGTCGCTAATGTCCATCTTGTCAAATTCGTCGATGGCGCAAATGCCGCCTCCGTTCTAGATACTAAGTGTCAGGATCATCACACCAAACAGGCAGAGGTTGTAAAAAACAGTAGTCAGAAACTCACCGCAAGCATCAAAGCTCCAGCTTCTATGGTAAATTCGCCAGTCTCCGGGTCTTTGACGACTGAAGCAGTTAACCCAGCGGCTGAAGATGCTTTTCCACTAGTGTATACAGCTCGAGGGTTCAGTGAACAGATGTACCTTTCATAATGTTAGTCGAGTTCGGTTTATAAGGGAATTTTCAGATGCCTCACTTCAAAAATTGACTTTTACTCGTGGAAGGGTCTCCAACTATGCATATGTTAATGTCTCCACGGATTTGCATGTTTTCCTGTTGCGTGGTTTTGGATACTCCGCCAATTAATTGCAATAGTAAGCCCTTTTTAATAGCTCGGTGTCCATAAATCATGGGAGCAATCGAGTCCACTAATCGCGAATAGATGTAGTCCGAATGAACTAATTTTTTAAGATCCTGTACTTCGTAAGGCGTAAGTGTTTCGAGTAGTCGGTCCTGCGCCTCATCCTCGTAGGTTTCTAGCTGGTCGGTTTGATTCAAGGAAGCAAGGATGTTTTGTGATTGGCCATTCAGTTGCTGGGAAGTTGGGCGGCCAGGAGTGGTGAGATCAGGAGTTACCATACAGGCAAGGAACGCGAGACGATATGTGAGGTCGCGAACGCCCAGTGATTTCAAGCCGCTCACTCCACTTCCACCGACGTCACTGCCGCGAAAGTTCCCATTGTCTCTAGTAGCTTCTGGTCGGACACCAGGGAGACCTAGCTGGCTAACGTCCGGGACAACAATAAGTGTGCCAGTGAAAATACACCTCTCTCCGGCTTTGGCTCGATCGACCATCTCTCCTCGTAAAATAATGTCCATCGTGCGTGGCATGCTACCTGTTGGTATTTCATGCGACGATTCCTGCAACTTTACTTTCTGCCAGTCGACAAACGTGCTCTGACGGATATCTAGTCGCCAGCCGACACGATTCCCACATGTCAGATTTGGGCATTGTGTGGGTTCAGTATATTTGAATGTCTGTTCCACTTCTTCAACAACTGCGTTACAGCCCTCGCAAATGAAAGTGCCTAACGCAAGTTCTGGGCGAACTTCAGAAGTTCTTGTCACAGTCCCAGATATTGAAAGCAGCTTCCCTATCTGAGCAGTTCGGAGTTGTCGCAGTCTCGAGACAAGCGGCAGGTTGTAGAAAGCCAATGAAAACACCTTGTCTGTTTGCTGGTGCCTTGTCTTTCCTGCTAACGAGTCAGGCTCCGTGCTGTCGACTGCTACGGCTGACGTGGCGGCCTGGGATGACGTGCTGTTTATCTGTCTATGCTCTCTGAAGTACTGGGGTTCGTATTTGGCAATAAGATTGTGGAGAGCTTTGGTCAGGTAAGGTTGGAATCGGTAATATTGATTAGCAATAGCATCAGCCAGAATTTGGTTTGAAAGGGAGGTTAGGTGTGTAAAGTCGACGTAGAGGGTGGAAAGCTGGTATCGTTGTAAACCATGAATTTGCGCAATGTAGTATTTGTTGCTGGGTATTTCGGACGACGGAGGAACGCCTGAGGATGAGGGCTCTTCAACATGTGTCTCCAATAATTCTTCGAACGCTTGTTGCACTTTTTCGCCTGCAACATCCTGGACAGGTGGAGGTCCTCTCCCGTAGAGGGGATGTCTTGGGTGTCTAGCGAGGGAACCGCCCGGGCCAACAACTTGATCATCTGCGAATCCCTCCGCCTCACTCATTTGGCCATTGCTTTCTGATGGAGCATGATGTCGGGAGCTGGGTGGTTGATCTGAGGACGGAAACGGTCTTTCCCTGCTTCCTGGGTTAGAGCCCAGTTCGGACTGTAGAATGGCGTCAAACAGACTAGACATGGTGTGGTGGCTATCAACTCTAATATCAGGGCACTCCGTTAAGAGGTGCAAGAACAGTTCGTTAAGTGCAAATTGTCCCTCTTAAAGAAGTTCCTGGAGCTCGATCAGGAGCATAACGAAGGGCGATTGGGACAATTGGGCTCTTGCAAATGAAGCTCAAAGTAAAAGTCCAAGTGGGAGCGAAACGCGTCGGAGTCGCGAGCGCGTACAGGAATTACAACGGGCCGGACGATCACGCGTAAAGTGGTTTGTGTTGGTGATTACTAACGTAATCAACCACCTAACGCTCGTTTTCACCCCAGGAAGCAGAAAACTTGACCTCGCTAAGTGCGCCACTTGTCACCCAGGAAGCAGAAAACTTGACCTCGCTAAGTACGCCACTTGACCTCGTTATGTAAGCTGACCTTGCAAATGTGGCCCGTGCCACTACCTGACCTCGCACAATACATCTTTTCTTGTAATTTGAAATCACTTAATTATTTACCATCAATTCTACAATCAATTCAAAATCAATTTAAAATCAATTTAAAACTGAAATTATTCTTGAATTTAATAATAAAGTAAGTATTTATATAATTTACACTGAATTGATTATTAATTGATTTTCAATCAATTGTTAATTACTTAAATATATAGATTGAATTTATTTTATTACTATAATTAATTAATAATTAATTCAGAATCAATTCAAAATTAATTCAAAATCAATTTAATACTGAAATTATTCTTGAATTTAATAAATAATACTGAATTAATTATCAACTGATTTTCAATCAATTATTAATTACTTAAATATATAGATTAAATCTATTTTTATTACTATAATCAATTCAGAATCAATTCAGAATCAATTTAAAATCAATTTAAAATCAATTATTAAAT